GTCCCCAAACATTGACTATATATCATGAAGACTTGTAATACTGGGAACATGCCCACAAAATGGACTCCATCACCTACCAGCATATATGGTTATCTGGTTTACAAAATCATACATATGTCTTCTTGCTACTAGGTTTTTCAGAATACCGACGTCTACAACAGGAGGTGCAAGTGGAGCTGTCTCCTAATGAAAAACCTGTAGCCAGGAGCCAGGATTTTTATCCTTGATTTTGATAGCTGACTTTGGATAATTTTCTTACCTATCTTGTGGTTTCATTTCTCCAACTGCCCAATTAATATTTTAATTAAATTAGATTAAAACAACCAACCTTGCATATTACAACTTTCTTTCTCCAAAATCCCACATATGCACCAACTGTATTCATTTTCATCCACTCCATCCCCATTTATTCAAGAAGTACCTACAATATACCAAGTGCTGTCCTAGCTACTGGGATCACAAAGTTTGGAAATCACACATAAATTCTCAGCATTGTGAAGTTTATATTCCAGAGAAGGGAGGCACTGAGAATGTTTAGACACAGGTGTTTTGGGATGGGATTTCCATATCCACTCCTAAAGGTATGGAAGTAAATGCTTTGTCAGAGTAAATCTTGCCAATTTTTATAAGAGTAGCTCAAGCTACCAGTCAACTCCTTGGGGTTTTCAGAGCCATCAGTCGGTTGTAGATCAAGAAGATCTAGAGGAGAATACAGCAGTCCCTTCCTTTCCCAATAACCCCTTCTATGAATATAACTTACCATAAAGTCTATCTACATTGTCCTTGATAAGACAACAAGACATGGATGGAGCAACAAGAAGTGTCTGCCACTGATGGGAGTGGGAGGATTAATGAACATTCATTTGGCTGTAGAGGTACCTGACCCTCTGTTTTGAGTGCTACACTTGGCTTAGAGGACACCAAGCCATTAAGCAGAGATGAGTACTGAGGAAACCTAGGTCTGTGGCTGCTTTGGATACCTGACATTAATCTCCAGAGCATGGACTAAGAATTGGACAAAATCATCTCCATGGTCCTTCATCCTTCAATCACAAGTTTTTAAGCCTCAAGTTGGAAATTTTAAGTGACATCCTATTTATAAGTCCTACAACTTTAACTAACTTGCTGACCTATGTACATAATATGATGTGAATATAAGTGAACTAAAAGCTATGTCCTAATCCTCCTCTGTTTTCAATCACATTATTAGAATACAATGGTGACTGCTTATTATCCACAGGCGTATATCCCAAGATCCCCAATGAATGCCTGAAACCTCAGAATTCCTGTACATTCTGCTTTTTCCCATACATTTATGATAGTTCAATGTATAAATTAGGAATGATAAGTATTTAACAAAAATAACTAAAAATAAAATAGGACAATTTTAGCAGTATACTAGAATAAGTAATGGAAATATGATCTTGCTCTCTCAACATACCTTATGCTATGTTCACCCTTCTTGCTGGCCATGGATAACAAAGTACAGAAAGCAAAACATCAAGAAATGGGGGACTACTCTATATGAGTAAATCAGGATATAATGGTAAGGTCACAAAAACAATATGAGACCTGGGTGTAGTGATGCACACTTGTAGTTCCAGCTACTTGAAAGACTGAGGTGGGAGGATCACTGGAAGTCACAAATTGCAGACCAGCCTGGGTAACATAGTGAGACCTTGTCTCAGTAGTCAAACAGAAAAGCAAATGAACAAAACACCCACCACTAACAACATAAAATATTTCTCTCTCTCTCTCTCTCTCTCTCTCTCTTCTCTCTCTCTCTCTCCATATATACATACTAGATTAGGTCTAAAGAGATATAATCTCTGTGAATTAATAAACACTAACAATAAGGGTTGAGGTATAGTTCAGTGGTAGAGCACTTGCATATTGCATAGCATACATGAGGTGCTAAATATGCCCCATAATAAATATATAAATAATAAAAACAAAAATATATAGGCATATAATTGATACATGTAATTTATAGACCAAAGAATAAAAATATTAATAGTACATCTATGAATATTCTAGTGCATGTATTTTGGAGAACAGGCATACACACTTTATGTTAGGTATTGTTACAGACTGAATATTTGTGTCCCTCTACAGTACTCAGGAGACAGAGGCAGGCAGATGTCTGTGAGCTTGAGGTCAACCTGATCTATATAGGGAATTCCAGGTAAGCTGGGGCTACATAGTGAGCCCCTTCAGACTGAAATGAGGTCCACCATATGAGGATATAATAACAACTCAGCCATCTGCAAGCCAAGAAGAAATCCCTCAGAAGAATTCAACTGGTATAGCCCCAGAACTGTTACAAATACATTTTTATTGTTAAAACCATCCAGTGAATGATATTTGTTGTCAGCCCAAGGAAACAATACAGGTATACACCTAGAGGTAGTATGGCTGGGTCATGAGGAATGCATACATTCACCTGTAATATGTCATAGCCAGGCCCAAGGTGGCACATACCTATAATCCCAGCTACTCAAGAAAGCATGACAAGTTCAAGGTCAGCCTTGGCAACATAATGAGACTTCCAGAACCCACATATATAGAGAGAGACAAAGAGACAGAGGGATAGACATAATTTTACAAAGTGATTGCCAGCAGTATAATAAGAATTCCAACTGTTCCACTTTGGAAAACCTTGCTCCATGTCCTCACCAATACTTAGTATTTTCTGTCTTTTCTACTTTAGTCTTTCTAAAGGCTGTGTGATACTATTGTATTGTGACTTTAATTTCTACTTCTCAATTGTTATTGAAATTAAACACTTTTTACACATTTATTGGACACCTGGATGTTTTCCTCCCTAGTATTCATTTATCTATCTTTCTGCTGGATTGCCTGTCTGTTAATGGTTTGCAGGAGAGTTTTCTAGATGCTAAACCCTTTGTTCCACATATGTATTGCACGTTTCTTCCAGCCTGTGGAACACTGTCCAATGACGAATGGCCCATCATCTTTTATATCACCAAAAGAAATATAATGCTAAAGTTAACAGTTTGCAAACTTTGCCCATACATTAATTTGTGGTTAGGTTAGTTTAGTGTAGATTTCATAATTAATCTCCTGCTGCCTTTTGTTTTTGTTTGTTTGGGGGTATTTTGTAATCAAAACCATGCTCACTTTTCAAAATGAATCACTTAAACACTCTTTTTTTGTACCTGTTTATCTGGAGGGGTCAGGATTTTTCTTAATAATACACAACCAGAACAGAAGATACAGAAATAAGCTGGACACTAAACCTGCTGGCACTACAACTGTTTTAGACACAAAAACCCTGTGGCAGTGGGACTGACAGGGGCACACTCATTACACTAGTTCCTGTTGGTCTTACCCATGACTTCATTGCCCAGACCTTTCACTTCCCTCACATTTTCTGAGTCTTGTTCTGCAGATTTCATATTTATTATTTTACCTACCCAATTTCTTTATAATAAATACAGTTGTTTCACTGTTTATAAAGTTAATATTAACTTGAATTTATAAATATTTTGTAATAAACATATTTTACTGTATGAATTACTTTATATGTTGGGGTACTACGATAGATTTGTCTTGAAAAAGAACTCTTGTGCTCTTAAAACTTAAATTTGAAAAATCACAGTACTGCAGCATCTTTCTGACTCCCTTCAGCCACACTTTCAGCTGTTCTTCTCCAGAGCTGAACATATGTATTTTGGAGAACATACATGCACAATTTATGTTAGATGTTGTTGTAGACTAAATGTTTGTGTATCTCTCCACACATGAAACTGATCCCAAGTTCCTATGTTGAAGCCCTAACCCCTTGAGTATATTTAAAAATAAGGCCCGTGAGGAGTGCTGTAGGTGAAAAACGACCTAAGAGTGGAGCCTTACATGTGTTTAGCTATGGAGAATGGCTGAAAGGAATTAGAAAAAGGAGGTCCACCATGTGAGGATACAGTGACAAAGCAGCCATCTGCCTTTTAATCCGGAAACTATGAAGTTCAAATTATTTGCATGACTACACGGCCCCTCAAGACTTAGCATATTTAGTGGAATGAACACAATGTTTGTTGACTAAATCAATAAAACTGGAGAATGTAAAAACTAGGTACAGTATCCTACATCTTTCCTGAATTTTCATCAAATAATAGTTATGATACTTACACCTCATTTTCATAAGGCGCCTTCCAAATACCTCATCTCATTTAGGTGTGATCTTTCCACATAACATTAGGACAAATAAGAGATGTGATTCTTCAGAAACTGGGTGTCATATAAACGCAATAGGATTCAACGTTTGAGGAACGCTTTTCTAAAGTAACAATCATGGTTTAGGATTATAAAGACTGGTAACCGAGAATCTTGCTATGGTTGTAGGAGAGAAGTTCCTCTGAGCATCAGGTCACTGCATGGAACTACAAGACAGACATAAGACTTCTTTCTTCTTTTGCCTCTCTCTTTCTCTCTTCTTTCTTTTTTTGTTTTGAGGCTGGCCTCACTCTCCTCCTCTACCTCAGCTTCGTCAGTGCTGAGATGACAGGCCTGTCGCCATCACACCTGGCTTGGGACACTTTATAAACATAAGCTTTCTATCTTGGCCTATTTTTGACAGTGAACAGGACTGCGAGGACATAGGACATAGTGCGGTCCACGTCACCAGCTGGCTTTCTTGAGCACACCCTGACGGTAAGAGGCAGGTGTTGAGTTCTGCCCTCCTGGGGATGGGCTGTTTTCCATTTGCATTTTCCTCTTTCCTGAAGGGAAAAACCTCCACGAATCCGTCTTCCGGCTCCAGGCTACAAAGGCTACCTGAGGGCACAGAAGACCCAGTGTTGGCTATGCGCAGGAGTCCCTCATGCCTCGCGCTGTCGCTCCGCCCTCTCCTCCGCCGGACGGCAAGTTGCTGCGCACATGCGCAGTCACACCTTGCGGCTCCCTCTCCTAGCGCCGCCCGCCGAGCTCGCCCCGAGGGCGGGGCTGGGGAGGGGGTGGGGGTGCGGTGTAGAACGCACATGCGCACGCGCCTGGCGGTGGCCGCTCCCCAAAGGCGCGCTCCCGCGCCCGGGGCCTGCTGGTCTGCGCGGCTGGCCATGGAGGCCCTGCGGAGGGCCCACGAGGCCACGCTGCGGGTGCTTCTATGCGGGCCTTGGGCCTCGGGCGCTGCGTCCAGCCGGAAGCCCAGCGCCTCGGAGGTTCTGACGCGGCACCTGCTGCAGCGGCGTCTTCCGCACTGGACCTCCTTCTGCGTACCGTACAGCGCGGTCCGCAACGACCAGTTCGGCCTCTCGCACTTCAACTGGCCGGTGCAGGGCGCCAACTACCACGTCCTGCGCACCGGCTGCTTCCCCTTCATCAAGTACCACTGCTCCAAGGCCCCCTGGCAGGACCTGGCCTCGCAGAACCGCTTCTTCACAGCGCTCAAGGTCGTCAACCTCGGTGAGTGGCGGCGCCCTCGCCTGACCTCAGCCCCGGGCCTCACTGTCCACAAGCACGCTGTTCGGCCTCCGGGGCTGGCCCTGGGCTCCGGACCGTCGCACCCCTAGCGGGTGTTTCTCCCTCTAAGTGATTGGTCTCCTGAACCCGGTCCCCCTGCGTGGGCTGCTGCTGAGGCCGGCCCTGCAGGGCTCCCTCCATCCCCCTGGGAGGTGATGCCTGCCCCTGTCACCCGGGAGCGCACTGCCTTGGGCAGCGTGGAGGGTGCACAAGGAAACAAGTGGACAGTGGCTCTGAAGTTAAGAAGTGTCCGCTCGCCTATCAGGAGTCATGCCTGTGATCGTCCCTGGGCGCCTTTATAGGACAAAAAGTGAAACGACTTTATTTGTCTTTATATGAAATCCCAGCAAATTTTGCTAAAAGCACTAAAAGCTCTCTCCAGACATAATAGTTTTCTCAGGCGCTAGACTTTAAAAGTATTTAAAAGACTCTGCCTCTTTATTATTTGAAGTGGTCCTGGAAATAATCTAGTTCTGACAGTATCTACTCCCCGCTAAATGCTTATGTTCTTCTAATGACAAAAGAGGCAATGGCGTTTTATGCGTCAGGGGAAAAAATGGAGAGCCTCAAGATGTGTTGGACCTCTTATTAACTGCTAGAAAATTAATCCAGCTTTCAGCCGTTCAAGATCCAAACAAGGAAGCAGAATCATTGTAGCTCACCTAGTTTTCTAAATCCAAAATTAACACTAAAATCTGTGCAGCGGCACTAGTATTATATAATCTGATAGTTCATTAAATTTAAATATGGTATGTGTATTTCTGCTTATAACTTTCATGTCACCCGTGGGATTTTTGAGCCACTCTCCCAGTGGACCTGCCCTGGGCTCAATCCAGGAAGGAAATTATCCTTTATAATCCTTTTAAACGTGTCTCAGTATTTGAGTACAGTATGCCTAATTTTGAGGTTGGTATGAAGTTGGAAGCCAATGTGAGACGATTTAGAAAAATCGGTTGAAAGCCTTTGGAAAAGCTGGAGCGATGACTAGACTTGAGAAAATAAGTTTATTTTAGCATTTTCTGAATCAGAAGGAATCTTTTGTTCCCCAAATACATGGTAATAGGTTAGGAAAATTATAATGGCCAAGCTATAGGTAAACTATGTAGACAGAATCCTTTATAAAAATGTCACCAATTTAAGACTTAACATGTTATTTAAGATCACCTTCATGATTAAGGGCTTCTCTTTTAGGTGTAGATTATTAAGACATCAAAAAGGGGGGGGGATTCCCACATAGAAAAGTAAAACCTTTTGAGAACAATAGATGTACGTTTTTGTTTTTGTTTTTTTTTAGTGTGGAAGAGTGATTTAATAGCTAGTATTGTCTTAGAGAAATTCTGAAAGTGCTGCTTAAATGGGAAGAGTTTTAAGTGAAACAAAAAGAACTCTGGCTCATGCATATTTTAATGCAAGCTGGCTTACGATAATAAGGGAATTTTTTTCTGGACCTTTTATCAATTTGTCAACTTTAAAAATTTTTTGTCTGAACTAACAGAATGCAAATTAAATAACAGGATCTGTTCCTAGTCTATGATGCTAGTCCATGATGTACAGGCTGCCCCTCTGGGCCATCAAATATTGTCTATTAATGAGAATATGAAGGATTTTATTCCTCCTCTTCCCTTCCAATTTAGTAATTATTAGAGTAATTCATTTTTCCATTTTGTAAATAATAAAGGTTTCTGTTTACCCATTTGTTCCCTTCTTCTCTCCCTTCCCTTCAGCAAAGTGACGTTTTACTGATGGTTTATCAGTCTGAATACCCTGCTGGGAAATAGATTGAGATTTAAGAAAAGCAACTTACCATTGGAATGAATGGGTAATCGGAGACTTGCGACCAAGTTCTAATTTTTTTTAAGTGCTTAATTTGACAGTGGTTTACCTACTGTTCAGCTGACTCAAAATGAATGATTATGCAAAGAACTGATTTTTTTCAGGTTCATTTTGATGTTCTATATCTCAGTCTGGAAAAAATTTTCATGGAATCTTAAAGATTTTTGAAGCATGTATGCTACATACAAACAAAAGATGTTTTTATCTGTAAAATACATGGGAGGCAAATCTTTCTCTTTAGTGTACCGTTCTCATTGCATTCCATAGATAGATGACAAAGAAAAAAGGAGATACAGATTTTTCACTCCCTCATCAACTCCATCTTCAAACAAGCATGACTAGTAAAGGGTCCTAGTTGATAAGATATAATGTAGCTATTATTAAACTAGTCATTGCTGATCAGTTCTTCATTTTGTCTAGGGGGAAAAACTAAGCCATTTATTTGTGTGATTTTTTTTCCCCAAAAAGTATAAATTTTAAAAGTATCAGTATTTTAACTGAAAGCTGTGATAAATACCATAAAACAAAAATTCTCAGGGTCACTGCCATTCCTTAAATTCGCATCCTTAGCATTGGTTTAAATAGTATATTTTATGTATTTTACTCTCCGTATATTAGAAAACATAATTGCTTCTAGGGCCCTTTTAAATGCCTTGCGTCATGGATTTTTAGATTTGGGAGCTGCAGAATCACATTTGAATTTATTTTTATTTCAGTCTGTCCCCTGCACTCTTTTCTTCTGCCTGTCTTGTTCACGTTCTCTTGTCCCCCACCCCCCACCATACCATTTGCCTTTTTTTTCTTTTTGAATGAATGATACATAAATAGCCTTATTGTAGTTTTACAGTATTTATTTTTGTGACATTTTGAGACATTTGAGATCATTAAGAAATCGAGACATTTGGGGGCATGATCAGGGCAAAGCAGTCAGTATAGTGTAGAAAGTTTCATAGGATCACTGGGGAATTCTGGATAATAAGTCACAAACTGTAACTTTGTGTGTTCTTTAACATAGGAAAGTACCAGCCTGAATGGCAGCCCATCATCCAGCCCCTCTATCTCATTGCAGGGTAGTGATATCGCACCTAATGATCTGGCATCACAGGGGCTGGAATGGAGCTTCACGGGAATGAGCACAAAGTAGTCCAATACATACACTCAGAAGGAGCAAACACAGTGAATATATTCTTGCAGAAAAGTAAGAGGAAAAAAAATAGCAGTGTGATCAGTCTTGAACATGTGTTGATTTCTCTGCTAACTAGAAAGAAAGAGATTTTCCAAATGTGTAGTTATCTTTTTGAATTGTCTTTTTCTGCCAATTTCCCACATGGAAGCAATAAAATTAATACTTGTGCAGGGTATGCAATATTTGTTATTGATCCATGTGCCTGTAGTTTTATACATATGTTTTTAATGAGTTCATACTTGTTGATTTTAAATAAGTTCCTTAAAGAGATAGGAATTATGGGAGTCTGTTTGCATTCAAAACAGTATCATATGCATATGCTTAATCCATATCTCTGAGAAATACGTGTTCAGTTTGATATTTAACAAATGGCAGTTAATCGCAGATAAAACAGCAAAGCCTTATTACTAGCAATCTTCCAAAGAAGAGATGTGTTGGTATCTATACAAATAGGCTGAAAAAAGATTGCTTTAAATCAATCGTAAAATTACCAATGAGGATGTTTCTTTTTCATGCCTGTTACACTAAAATCTTCCTATAAGTTAGATTTTGCCTTAGGTTTTGAAGACAGTTATTTGACCTGATTTTTCTCTTTTAAGTTGTACAAAAAATTCTTTGACTATCAGTATTGCTATCTAACTTAAAGGACAATAAAGTTGACCTAGTAATTTTAGCTCAAGGCAAATAATCAGGAGCATTTACAATCAAATTAATGGATTTTCTTCTCTGTTTGTTTATATGTGGGAAGAATATATAAATACTTCATAATTACTTGAAGATAATGGATTAAGGAGTGTTTTGCATTAAACTTTGTATTCTCTATGTTTTAAGAAAATCTTTAGGCTCACATAATTGCCACCATGTTCCACAAACATAGATGAAATTGAGCTCTTAGATAATCATAGTCAGTGTTGAGTCAAATATTTATATTTCTCTAACTTTATGTTAACATTACTGAAGAGGGTTGTGTGATCTGCAGCATGACATGTTGGTTCATGATTAATAAGTACTGATCTTCTCGAATAACATTTGTTTGTTTTCTAGGTATTCCAACTTTATTATATGGACTTGGCTCCTGGTTATTTGCCAGAGTCACAGAAACTGTGCATACCAGTCATGGACCAATAACCATTTATTTTCTAAATAAAGAAGATGAAGGTGCCATGTATTGAAAGTATGCATTGGAAAATATAAGTATCAGTGGATTTGCTCTCACGTTTATGTGTGATATTTATTTTTGATCTTCTAAAATAAAACTCTGGCAAACACTTTTGCCTTTCTATGAATGTGTTTTGTTTTATTTTGTTTTAAAGACGAATCACTGTCCTCCAGAGAGGCTTTTTGTACATTGTTATCTATTATATACTCTTTTTAGCTAATGGAACTACAAACACATGAAGCTTCACACCAGTGTTTTCCTAGATCTAAGTTAAACTACTGATAAAAAATAAGTACACATGTACAGATTCTTTAGCTACCTGTTAACTATTTAAATTGATCCTGAAGAACAAACATAGGTGTCTCTACCAAAGAGAAGTGGGAAAACTATTGTGGAAATGGAGGAAAAAATAGAATGTGGGAAGGAGATGGTGTTAGCATACTTAGTGGAGATAATATTATATCATTGGCAAATTCAAAATAGATGAAAATCTAATTATAATCTAAAAACTGAAACGTTCAGCTGCCAGGATTTTGCATGGAAAGTTTTTTAAAGCTATGATACTGTTTATCTGAAGAAGGGGTTGGGATAAAGTGCTGGTACACAACTGTAAATCCCATCACTTGAGAGGTAGAGGCAGGAGGATCAAGAGTTCAGAGTCACTCTTGGCCACAGAATGAGTCCACAGCCAGCCTCAGCAACATGAGACCCCATCTCAACAAAACAAAAAACAAAAAGAATCCAATGCCATGATAATTTTTAATG